CCCTGCCCTCCAGTTGTTTTCTAGCACACTCTCAGTAAGAGCTTAAAGTCCTGGTTCATGTGTCAGGACATGAATGATCTCGCTCTTCTACTTCCTTTGCAGGTCTGTAACTCCTAGGCAGCTTTCAGGAGGACTCTAACCTAAAACATTTTAACATACAAACACCATCATGAAGGAGTTTCTGTAACTCATAAAACTATTAAATAGGAGGCAGACAAGGAATGACAGTTAAAAAGGAGTAATATAGACCAGTTGGATTTTATCAAAATACATTATATGCTGTTTGGAAATATCACAATGAAACCCCTTTGTTTTGCCATATATATACAAGGACATCAGTGAATTTTGTCTGAAGCAATTATTACTACAGTTTCTCAGGGAAATGTTTCTAGGCGATTTTTTGGTGATATTTGGGGCTGAACTATGGGCTTTGCACTTGCTAGACAGACACTATACCACTTGAGCCACACTACCAGCCTCAGGTCAAGGTTTCTATTTCCTGTATTCATTCTAATTTTGCTAATAGAATTCTTCTTGAATGATATTTATTTCTTCTTCCCCATTTATTTATTTAATCCCTTACTTATTTCTGTATGAATTCGTAAATACTAATTTTTTTCTTTACAATGTAAACCATTGTTATTTAGTTTGTTGCTCAAATAATTTCACTTTTAGAGATTGAAAGCTCCTTTAGGTTGGCTCCTGTGTTCTTTTCCTCCTGCATCCTTTTGCTGTGCCCTCATCATATTTTTGAGCACTTCCAACTATTTCTTTTAACAGAGTGTCTGTTGCATTCAGAAGAAGTTATGAATACCTTTGAATTGGTTTTCACTATCCTTCACTGCATGTAATGATAAACTCTGAGCAACAGCATCTTGAGAAAAGTTTCTCTATTAATATTTAAATAATCATTTGTTAAATTTCTCTCATAAAAGCATTGATGAAATTTGCAGTCACTTCCTTGCCACAGAATGCATGCCATTGATTCAAAGTTCCAAGTTCTCATAGGTGCAGAACCAACATTTAAAATTGTTGTTATCTAGTTGTCTTTGCTCTTGCTTATCTTAGTGAGCATCTTTGAGATGGTTATTTTGAATTATGCAGGTCATTCATAAATCACCATTTATTTTATTTCTGGAGTTCATTTGGTTTCTGTGATTGAATCATACTTCCCAATTATTTTATAATTTTAAATTTTTTTACTGTTCTGGGCAGGGATACCTTGTTGTATTTACAAAGTTCTTACAATATATCATACTTGAATTCATCCCCTCCCATCATTCTCCTTTATCCATCCCCCATTCCTGGAATAGTTTTAACAGGTATCATTATTCCATTTACATACATGTGTATACAGTATTTGCACTATATTCTTCCTCTCACACACTTTTCCTATCTACTCCCCCCACTCACAATTACTAAACTCCCCCCAAACAGACCTGTTCCACCCTGCTATTCTCCAATTTTGTAAAAAAATTGATATTTTATTTAAGATAGACACAGAGGAAGTTTCCTTGTGACATTTCCATATGTATATGTATTATAACCAAAATTGGTTCATGTCTATTTTTCTTCTTTCTGCCTTAGTCCCTTTCTTATGGTGATATCAACAGGTTCCCAATTCTTTGTGTGCTTTGTTAAATAGGGTTGAAATTCTAGCATTTAGAAAACTATTATTTGTAGAATATTCCAACAGTTATGGAAAATAGTAGGACAATTCCTCAAAAATTAAAAATAGAAGTATCACAGACTTACTAAGTCTCACTGCAGGGCATGTATCCAGAAAAATCCTAGAAAACTATGTTGAAGTGATATCTGCACAAACATGTTTTCTAAGGCATTATTTATGATAAGCATTGTATGGAATCAACTTAAGAGTCCATCAAGTGTGAAAGAATAAAAAATGTGATATCCACAATGAAATGGTATCCAGTCATACAGAAGAACATTACTGGGGTTGGGGGTCTGGCCCAAGCGGTAGAGTACCTGCTTTGCACATACAAAGCCTTGAGTATAACACACAAAAAAATAAGTGCATCATTTTTCTTGTGAAATAGATGAACCAAAGGACATATTCTTTAGTTAAACAGGCTTTTCATGAATAGACAAGTGGCACATAATCTAAATTTTATGGGGATAATGAAATCTTGATATCACACATATAGAAAGTAAAATGTTATCTGCTATGTGAACACTTTTTCATATTTTTATTGTTATATAAAAGTTGTACAGGGGTTTTGTTGTGACATTTTCATACATGTGTGTAATGTACCCTGATTTGGTTCATCTCCTCCATTATTCTCCACTTTCCTCTCCCCTTTCTTAAAATGACTTTGACAGGTTTTAATGTTCCATATTCATACATCTATGGAAATATGTCAACCATATTTGTGCTCCTTTACCCTATTCATTTAGCATCACCCTTTCATTAGTACCCTACCCTTTTTGTTAATGTTTTTATAGTATATTATATTTGTACAGGGGTTTCCATGTGACATTTCCATATATGCTTACAGTATACTCAGGTTTGAGTCATCCCCTTCACTATTCTCCCTCTTCCCCTTTCCCTTCTTAAAATAGTTTTAACAGGTTTAAGTGTTACATATTCATACAAGTGTACAAACTACACCAACTATATTCATCTTCCTTTAGTCTCTTCATTTATCCCCCTCACACTAGTCACTAGTACCCTTCCTTTAACATGACTCATTTTACATTCCTGTTCTTCATTGTTTAAGTGTGTAGTCATTATTCAGTGGTGTTTTTCTTGATATTTTGCCTGTAAATGTATAACACTTTAACTAGTCTAACTTTATCTATTATTCTTTGTTAACCTTCTTTCCCTTGTTGAAAATTGTTCACTTTTTTCCCCTGAAAAATGTTCAGCAGTTTTCAGTTCATTTTGCTGTGTCTTGTTCCTGCAGAGATGAGATATATTTCAAAATTATTTACTCTCTATCAATCTCTTCTTTCCCTCCTCCATTTGTCTCCTCTAACAGAACCAGTACTGGAAATATATACATTTATAAATATATATACATATATAAGTGTATATATATATATATATATATATATATATATATGCTTGTGTTTGGCTCTATCTAACACATATTTCAGAAAACATGTGACTTTTGTCTTTCTGAACCTGGCTTCACTTAACATGATCTCTGGTTCCATCCCTTTACCTATGAACAATAAAATTTCATTCTTCTATATGGATAAGTAATACTCCATTTTATATATATATAACTATATATTATATATTTTTTCTTAATCAATTCAGTTGTAGGACAACTGAGCTCTTTCCATTGCTTAACTATTATGAATAATGCTGCTATAAACATGGGTGTGCAAGGATCTTTTATTATATCCTGGCTTACATTCCTTCAGATACATGCCCTGGAGTGGTATTGCTTGATAACATGGAAGTTCTATTTTCAGTTCTTCGAGGAACCGCCATATTGCTTTCCATACGGGTTGTACTAATATATATTCCCACTAATGGTGTGTAAGAGTTCCCTTTCCCCCAACATTTGTTGTTGTTTGTGTTTTTGATGATAGCCCTTCTAGCAGGAGTGACATAGAGTCTTAAAATGATTTCATTTTCATTTCCTTAATTACCAGTGATATTGAGCATTTCTTCATATGCTTTGACCATCTGTATCTTTCCCTTATGAAAAAAATTGTGTTCAGTTCATTTGCCCATTTCTTCATTGGGTCATTGATTCTTGTGGAGTTTAGATTTTTGATCTCCTTGTAAATTCTGGTTATTAATCCCTTGTCAGCTGTATAGTTGCCAATTTTCTCTCATTAGTGAGCTGTCTCTTCAGTCTGGTGACTGTTTCCTTTCTTGCACAGAAGCTTTTCAGTTTCATATAGTTCCATTTGTTCACCCTTTCTCTTAATCACTAAGCTGTTGGTGTTCTAGTTAGGAAGTTATTGTCTATGCCTATATGTTCCAGTGCATTACCTAGTCTTTTCTGGACTAGTTTCAAGGTGTTAAACTTCACATTAAGGTCTCTGATCTGCTTTGAAGTAAAATGGTACCATGTCAAAGACATGGATCTAATTTCAGTCTTATACATGCAGATATCCAGTTTTCCCAGCAACATTCATTAAAGATGCGGTCTTTTTCCAGGGTATGTTTGGACTCTTGTTAAAAATCAGATGGTAGTAGTTTTGTGGATTTATGTCTGGACTTCTGTTCCATTGGTCTTTATGTGTTTTTGGTGACAGAACCATGATTTTTTTTTATTGTTATAGCTCTGTAGTATAGAATTGTGATACCTCCAGCATTGCTTTTTTTGCTCAGTATTGACTTGGCATTCAAAGTTGTTTGTGCTTCTGTATGAACTTCAGGTTAGATTTTTCAACCTAAAAAATTTTCTCTGTGAGGAATGCCATTAGAATTTTGATGGGATTGCACTGAACATAAAGATTGCTTTTGGTAATATTGCCATTTTTATGATATTAATTCTGCTGAGAAATGATCACAAAGATCTTTTCAATTTCAGTCATCTTCAATGTCTTTCATCAATGATTTATAGTTTTCATTATAAATTTGTTAAATTTATTCCTAGGTATTTTATTTTTTCAGACTATTGTAAATGGGATTTTTTTTCCTAGATTCTTTCTCAGTCTACTCATTGTTGATATATAGGAAAGTAACTGATTTTTGTGTCCTACTTTGCTGAAGGTGGTTATGATGTCTAAGAATTTTTGGTGTCGTTTTTAGGTATAAGATCATGTCATCTACAAATAGTGATAATTTGACTACTTCCTTCCATGTTTGAGCTCCTTTCATTTCTTCCTCCTGTCTTAATGTTCTGGCTAGTAATTCCAAAACTATATTGAATAAAAATTGGGAGAGTTGAAACCCTTCTCTCCTTCCTGATTTTAAAGGAAATGATTCCTGTTTTTTCCCTATTTTATATGATGTTGGCTATAGATGTGTGATATGTGCACTTTATTATGTTAAGATTTATTCCCTCTATTCATAGGTCCATCCCAACTTATTGTGCATCAGAGAAGTCACACTGAAGAGAAACCCCACAAATGTGAAGAATGCAGTAAATCTTTTAGTTATCCTTCACATCTTATTGTGCATCAGAGAATCCACACTGGAGAGAAACCCTACAAATGTGATGAGTGTAGCAAATCTTTTGCTTATTCCTCATATCTTGTTCTGCATCAGAGGTCCCACACTGGAGAGAAACCATACAAATGTAAATATTGTGACAAATCCTTCTCTACTTCCTCAAACCTCAGTAAACATGAGAGAATACATAGTGGAGAGAAACCATTCAAATGTTGTGAATGTGACAAATCCTTTAATGATTGCTCAAGTCTTAGAAACCATACAATAATCCATACTGGAGAAAAACCCTACAAATGTGAGGAATGTGACAAAGCCTTCAATAATTATACAAACCTTACTCAACATCAGAGAATTCATGCTGGAGAGAAACCCTACAAATGTGAAGAATGTGGAAAATCATTTACAGTCAGCTCTAATCTTTCAAGACATCAGAGGATTCATACTGGAGAGAAACCCTACAAGTGTGAGGAATGTGGCGAGTCATTTAAGTTCCACTCTAGCCTCAGCAGTCATAAAAAACTTCATTCTAGGGAGACACCTTAGTTTCATTCTAATGTTAGGGATGTGTCAAATCATTTATCAGGTGCTCAACCCTCAGAAAACATTACAGAATTCATATTGAAGAGAAATTTACAAGACAAACAATGTACAAAGTTCTTTAATCAAGACATCTTATTTATACAGGGTAGTAACCAAAAAATATAAAGAATATGATAAATGCTTTTCACTGAATACTCAAGAGAAAGAATTCAGTATATATATATATATATATATATAAAATGAAGGTGAAGTATTATGCATTGAAATCCACTGACAGTATTAAAAATGTAATAATGTAAAAATGTAATAAATATAATGAGTGAGAAATTCAACTAAAAGGACTTAGACACTAACAATTTCAGACCTTATGGAAAATCAAAATATGGAGATCAATCAACAGTCAGAGCAATTACATAATTTGTTTCTAGAATTCAAAGGAACAGGATTATTGATGTTTGGGGAGGTATATTATATTCTAGAACACATTTGTGTTGCCAGAACTAGAGATTTTGCAGGAAAAAATGCACTGTAGATTAATTTCATGTTCCAGTCAATTCAACCTATGTCTCATTTCTGAATGACTGTATGAAAACTTTTTGCTTCATTAGAGTTATGAGAGTCAATACTATGTTAGGAAGGCATTATTATTACCATTTATACTATGAACAGTGGCAAATGTAAAATCCATTGTGAAAATCAAAAGGTGCATCTTCTTTGTGCTTCAATTTTCACCAGGATGGAAGTTCAGGGAATTGTTCTTCTACATTAAAATAAGAAAGAAAAATTCCGATTATTTGAAATGTATCATATTACCAGTTACTCATTAAGGAGAAAAACTGGCAAGTCCATTAACATAAACATGAATTTCCAAGGGCTGGTGGAGTGGTTCAGGTGGTAGAGTGCCTGCCTAGCAAGAGTGAGGTCCTGAGTTGAAACCCCTGTACCTCCACAAAAAATGAAAACTTTTCATAGTTGGAGTAGTTTGAGATCTTCAATAATATTGGTTGTAAGAAAAATAAATAAAACTTCCTAGACATCAGAGAAAAAGGAAAGCTCCTTTTTGATAAGTTGCAAATGAATCCCACACCACCGTTAACTAACATGCTAGTCTTGTTGTTCAGAATGGACAGTGCTGACCTCCAGAATCTTTACATCAGAAGAAACCTGGTGCTTCTTGAGTATTTGTTATCCATATTTTGACTAGGCAGCATGCAGCAATTTCAAAAGTACTATATCTAGACTATGTGTAAGTTTAATTTGTTTTAAAATAAGGCTTTTTAATGTTTTAAAACTGAATTTTAATGACTGAATTATTACCGTGACAGAAATATATTTATCTCTCCAAAATTTTCTTCGGACTAAGGGAAACACTGATTAAATCAATGTCTATTACTACATAATTGTGTGACAGCAGAATAGTTTCCCTTTTCCAGAAGATTTAAGCTGTAAATATCTTGAATAATGTTAGAATTAAGCTTCAAATAACTTGAATAATGTGATACTTAAAAGTATATTTTGAGTTATGGGAAATTATGGTTACAATACAACTATGCAAAAGTATAATTGGAATCCACGGTTTATGACTATTGAATTTTATTTATGAAATTTTACTTAATTGTCTTGCATATGCCTCTTTCTGAGCTTGCAGAACAGAGTTGATTTTTAATTTATATATGGAAATGATATATTAATATGTTATATTAAAATAAGGAGTAGGTATACTAAAAATTCATGTGTGCATCCATTCAAAAGGACAAGGATGTAGTGACTTAAAGCAGGTAAATTCACAATAGTTGGTGCATTGTCAGCTATTTTTAACTGTGAGAAAATACGTGAAATCTAAAAGTGGAAAGATTTATTGTTTTTCATGGTTCAGATACTTCTGTCTGTGGTCATTGGTTCCATTTCTGTGTGCCTCTGAATATCATACTTCCAGAGGTATGTTACAGATGCTTGTGGCAGCCAAGAAGTATAGGTTAGAAGAAAAGTACAAAGTATACTCTTCAAAGTCACACCCCCAGTAACTTGCTAACTATAAATAGGACCCATCTCATAATAACCTATAAAGCTATGAACTCTGTGTTAGAGCCCTGATGACCCAATCACCCCTCAATACCTTACCCCTGAACACTGGTGCTCTGTGAGTTAAGTATTCAACAAATGAGACTCTTGGGGCATTTGATATCCAAACCCAAGCAGGCGGTAATATATTAGGAAAGACAAAAATCAGCAGTTACTGAAGAACATGTAGTTTCTCTACTTTACACGAAATTCAATTCTCAAGAATCTTTTGTCTCCAGAGTGCAGAATCCATGTCTAAAAATTCTTTTTATTACATATTACTTGTGTAAGAACTAATGCATGATTTATAAAACATTATTTTCATTTCAATCTCAGGGAATTTAAGAATGTTTTCATGAAATTTAATGGTTCTGGGGATTAAAGTTATCAATAACTCTACAGTGTACTTATTCAACAAATAGTCATTGACTAGTAAACTCCATTTTCTCCCCTCTTACATAGAGAAGAAAATCACTTAAGTCATCTACTTTAGCTTTTGCTCCTCTCATTTAAGGGTTTATATTAAAATTCTTGTTTTCATAGAACTAACATTAGTTGAAAATAGGGAACAAGCATATCATAGGCTTGGTCTGATTCATTCTCAAACTATCACACTGAGTACTTGAATTTAGGAAGTTGAATTTTGATGTTGGCATTTCCCAATTACAGTGTCTGACCCTCAATTTCATACCTACATACATATGCATCACAGCCATTTCATTTTCTACATTTAGTGATTCTCAGCAGTAAAATGAATTCTGAGTGGGGCCTAAGAAGGCCTGGAGCACTTGTCTTTTTCTCTTGTGTTTCCTGTCTATTTCAAGATGTTGTATGTAGCCAATAGAGGGGAGACACCATCTCCCAGGTTACAATGATCAAGTGTCCTTCTTACCCTGTAAAATCCTTAATTTTGTCTTTGATCCTTCTATCTGTCCATTTTGCTAAAGGGCCCTGGAGTCTGGAGCTTCTGGGGCTTCCTTTGATTCAGGTTCTCCTTTTTCTTATTTGAGCCAGCATCTGAAAGTAAAAGGCCTGTTTCCAGCACATCATGAAGCACATTCTTTTCCTTGATTTGTGTACAAAGGCTTTAAGTTCCTGAGTTTTACTTACAGAAATAAGTGATGAGTCACCAGCAATCTCAAGCTGATTTCAAAGATAACACAAGGGCATATTTTGGAATTGGATATCAGTTAAAGGACCTAGGTATATGGCATATCAGTTGCCGGAGAAGTCAAGATATCATGGTCCTTCTCAGTTACCACTCCATAGAGGCATCCAAGAAGGAAGAACATTTGTCTAAAAATGGTAATATTGAACCAGGGTGTGAGTATTGGAAAACATAAACTGTACACAACACTAAACAAGGAAGATGGTTTCTCTTCAGAGACTCTGAATAGGTCAACCAAGCAGATGAATGTAATGCAAGCCAGGTAGGCTTGAATATCAAAGTAAAACTAGATGTAGACAAAGCTATATTTAAACCCACACTCTAGGTTCCCTGCAGACCTTTGGGCCTCTGATTTCCAAACCTCCACTCTGCATGGTTTCTTCTCTTTCAGGGGAAACACATGACCCCACTGCTCTTCTCTCTTGTTTCTTCAGGTTCTTTTCCTCAGTGGATCTTTGAGGCTTGGGCTTCTGATAAGCTTTGCTCATTAACTCTTGAATCTCCTAGGTGTAAGAAAAATAGAAAAAATTAAATAGAGACTTTAGGTAAAAATTTCACATTCTCTACATCTCCAAGAAAGGAGGCAGTGGACTCACTGACCATGAAGTCACTCACTTTCACCATATTTTAACATTCTCAAAGTTGTTCCATTCTGTGACCATCTCCTCACATCTATTCACTCCTAGAATAGAACACTGCCTGTGAAAAGACTACTTGATTTATACATGGTGAATTTTGGTTTGCAATCTTGCATAAAAGCATTATGGGTTCTTGGATTTACCCAGCTACTTTCTCTAAGCTCAGAACCTCTATCATATTTATCAGTGCCTATCAAAGAGCAACCATCAACTGTTGATTATTTTCCCATAAGCTTCCATACTGCTCACTATTTTTACAAAATTACTACTTAAAGATGCTAGGACAAATCATTGCAAAGCTTTGATATGTAATAATCTAAAGAGCATTTTTTATGATTCACATAAACCCCTAACCTCATGCCAGTTTTCACAGGGAAGCTGGCACAAAGCCACATCAGTACATTCAAGTTATAGATGGAAGTCCAAGCAAACTGTAGGTTTAAATTCACACCAGGAAACTCTCAAATAAAAGATATATAATGATACAAACAAGATAGAAGCCTCCAGGCATGTTCAAGCATAAATCCACAGCTCACAATTGTGGACCATACACAGAAATATCTAAACCATGAAAAACAATGGCTTAATTAAGGTCTCTGATCTGCTTTGAATTAAAATGGTACCATGTCAAAGACATGGATCTAGTTTCAGTCTTCTACGTGCAAATATCCAGTTTTCCCAGCAATATTTATTAAATATGCCTTCTTTTCTCCAGGGTATATTTTGGACTCTTGTCAAAAATCAGATGGTGGTAGTTTTATAGATTTATGTCTGGACTTCTGTTCCATTGCTGGGGTTCTATTAAGGAAGTCCTTGCCTGTAACTATTACTTCCAGAGTGTTTCCTGCTCCTTCCTGTACTTACTTCTAAGTTTCGGGTCTGATATTAAGGTCTTTGATCCATTTTGAGTTGATACTAGTACAGGGTGATAAACATGGATCTGGTTTCAGTTTCTTGCAGATGGATAACCACTTTTCCCAGCAACATTTGTTGAAGAGGCTGTCTTTTCTCCATCATATATTTTTGACACCTTTGTCAAAAATAAGGTGGGCATGGCTGTGTGGATTCATATCCAGGTCTTTGATTCTGTTCCACTGGTCTTCATGTCTGTTTTTGTGCCAGTACCATGCTGTTTT